GCAAGCTGGTAGGATGAGAGTGTGCTGGAGGGTTTGTGGGACTGCTTACTCTCCCGTAACTGTGTGTGCTCCTCCTGTTTGTCTGTTTACAGATGAGTCAGGCAAGAAAATGTCTTGATATTTCAAAATATAGCAACCTACAAACTAAATTCTTATCTACCATTTTACTAAAAGACCTTTTTCTATTGTTTGTGTAGATATTAAGTGCAGTTCTTGTCTCCCAATATTCATATAAAAGGGAGAGGAGGGGAAGGAACTGTTGTAATCCTTGAATTCTGCATTTGAAGTCTTTCTGTGAGTCAGCGCAGAATCCTGTGTTTTCAGAAGAAATCAGGGCCCTGGGCCTGTTCCTCTGTGCTGTCAGTGCCGCGGGCAGCGTCCATCAGCCACGCTCACCTTACCGAAGGTAAGCTCGGCCCCAGGCCCCTGAGTCTGTCAGCTCTGAGTGCTGACGTGTGTGCACAGAGTAACGGGAAGGACTGGGGTCCACAGAACAGCTGGAGCGGGCTCCGTGCTGCTCATGGCATTTCCTCAGGGAATCTGCGCAGTTGCCTTGGAGGCGGGCAGTGTCACCACTTCAGAGCTGGGTAGACATGCAGAGAACGGTCACTTGCACGCTGTCACATACAGTTCGTTGCTGGTGAACATGGAGTTTGAACCCATGTGTTCTCTTGTGTCCTGTGCACCTAGTGGGTCTGAGACCTAAACCTTCGACCTCTAGCTTTTTCTTTTACTTTTTTCTTTTTAATTACATGGAAAGTTTCTATTTGGTATTGGTGTAGATGGGAGTTTGCATTGCCTTTAGAACAGTCTCAGATTGGAGTGAGGGGCAGGGGCAGGATCGGTTAGTGTTACCAGAATCACATGATACAGACAAGTGGGCATGTGGAGTGCTCTGAGCCAGCGGTCATGGCCGGTGGTCCGTTAGGGCCGAGCTGCCCTGGCGAAGACAGCTATTTCTGGAAATGTCTTCCCCAGGGAGGAGTGATGGGAAGGCCGGGTGGCAGGGGCTCCTGAAGTCTCGCCGTGTTGTTTTCTGCTTCCCTCTGTATTTTGGGGTTGTGAAAAACTTGGTCTTCGTCGAAACTTCTCTCTTCCTCCTTTCGTAATCTCATCTCTTGATCAATCTGCTTCCGTTAAACCAGAGTGTTTTGTGTGGTTTCAAAGTCACAGCAGGAGGGAACATGCAGGTTGGAATAGAACATGCGGATGTGGTGATAACTAAAGACATTCCTTGGAATTTTCAAAAACGTTTGTTGAACTCGGCCATGAATTTGTTGATGGTGCTGATGGGTCCATGGTAAGCCGCCTGCCTTCTGTGGTGGGAAATGGTGGCAGGGGCCGCTTCCTCATTCTCAGAACTCTGATCAGGCTTTTAAAAATGACTGAGGGATGTGAGCGTTCATCTGGAACCAGAGCAGATTACCCCGTCTCTGGAGGTGGGTGCAGACCCGTCCACACACATTCTGGTTCCTTCCACTGCTCCACAGTGCACTCACTCAGGTTAATTTGTGTCCTTTGCTGTTTTAAACGTGAGTAAAACTTACTTTTTAAAATACCTTTTAAATGGTGCCATCCTAACTGCAAGGCTCACAGGTGAAAGCTGATGCGCCAGTGGAGCGTGAGGGTGGACAGACCTGGTCCCTGACTCCCAGGGTGGCGTGCAGTTAGCAGGGTCACTCTCCTTTTTTTTTTCTGTTTTATAATGTTTATTGTTGAAAGTATTACAGATGTCTCCCTTTTTCTCCCATTGACCTGCTTCATAGGTCGATACTCAACCACTGAGCCACACTAGCTGGGCTTTTTTTTTTTTAATACATTAATTCCATATTTTCTTGCCGTCTTGGGGGAGAAAAGCACACTAAACACCAAGAAATATTTTTTTTCTTTACTGAATAAGGTATTACATATGTGTTCTCATCGCCCCCCTCCCCAATAATTTTTCTAAACATATTTTTTGGGTGTGAAGAGAGCAGAGCGCCTGAAGAATGGCTCCTCTGTGAATAACACATCCAACAGCAACTCGGGCTTATTCTGAACAAGGGGCAGGATGCTAGGACTTACTGTGACAGCCCTACACATGAAAAGTACTTCTTAAATTGATTTCAGAGAGGAAGGAGAGAGAGAGAAACACTAATGATGAGAGAGAATCAGTGATCGGCTGCCTCCTGCACATCCCACACTGTGGACCAAGCCCCCACCCGGGCCTGTGCCCTGACCGGAATCGAACCGTGACCTCCTAATTTATATGTCGACGCTCAACCACTGAGCCAGGCCCAACTAATAATTTTGTTCCGCAGGAAATCATAGTTCTGAGTTTGCACCAAGTCTGGGAGTTGCCCTGGAGTGTGAGTGAGTGAGAGTGTGTTTTCATTGGGGGGAGCACTCTTTAGGGGCAGGTTTGCCTCTTAGTAAAGATGATAAGAAGATGTGTTGCGCCGAAACCGGTTTGGCTCAGTGGATAGAATGTCATTCTGCGGACTGAAAGGTCCCGGGCTCGATTCTGGTCAAGGGCATGTACCTTGGTTGCGGGCACATCCCCAGCTGCAAGAGGCAGCTGATCGATGATTCTCTCTCATCGATGTTTCTAACTCTCTATCCTTCTCTCTTCCTCTCTGCAAAAAAATCAATAAAATGTATTTTTTTTTAAAAAGGAAGATGTGTTGCTGAATAAACATCTGCCATAAAACAATTGTCCTTAAATTAAAAGTAACCTTTTTCGTGTGATTACCTTATTCTGTTTTGATATCCAAATGGGTCATAATCACCTCCTGACTCTCCTCTATCTTTCAAGAAATCTTTAGAGTAAGTATACAACTTACCATTTCAGGAATTTTAAAGACATTTTGAAAAACTTGTTCATAGGCCTGAAGTTTATTATTATTATTATTATTATTATTATTATTATTATTATAAAAGAATCTATGCTAATGAAAGAGAAAGATGTAAATTGACTGTACCATCATGATGCCCACCAGCCAATCAGGAATGAGTATGCAAATTAACCCAACAAAGATGACGGGCTAATTTGCATATGCAGGCACCAAGCAGTTGGGGATGGGGTGGGAGGCAGGCATTTTGCGGAGCCAGCAGCCAGGGGAAGGAAGGCCCATTCTTGCATGAATCTTCATTCATCGGGCCTCTAGTGCTTTATAAAATGCTAGGCCAGTTTCTCTCAGCCCCTTCTTTTTGGTAGATAAAATCTTGCCTTTAAGCAGCTTGTTTGCTCTCATGCTGTTGAATCTCCTGTGACGTGTGTGCGGTATCAGCTGCCTCCCAAGGTCACAGCATCTTATGTGACACTGGTGGGTCAGCCTTACAGCTCAGACATGCCAGTGTCCTCGTATCAGGGAGCGCCTTGAAGACACTCCCAAACCATCATCTTCCGTGTGCACTTCGAAATATCGAGAATGAACAACTCTGCTGGCTACAGCACAGGTTACTGTTTTTGAAATGCAAACTTTAAAATTAGGAATGTATTTGAATATTAGTTTGTATCATCATAGTACTTAATAAATTTTTTTTTTTTATTTTATTTATTTATTTTTTTTTTTTGAGGGAAAAGTAATGATAAGCTGATGGGGTTTACCTACAGGCAGGGCCAAAGGCCGCCAGCATCAGTGTTGTAAAACTCCTTAGGGCATAATTTCCGGTTCTGAGAGGATGATCTGTGAGGCCCATTTAATGCCGGTTAGTTAGCTCTCAGTCTTATCTGAAGTCCCGTCTCCCCCTGAAATGCCAGTCCATAGCATCACACTCTGAAGCAATCTAGGTTCTAATGTGGCAATGATTACAGCATTGTTCAGCAGCTTGAATAAGCCATTTGTAAAGATTTTTTTTAAAATATATTTTATTGATTTTATACAGAGAGGAATTGAGAGGGACAGAGAGTTAGAAACGTCGATGAGAGGGAAACATCGACTAGCTGCCTCTTGCACACCCCCTACTGGGGATGTGCCCGCAACCAAGGTACATGCCCTTGACCGGAATCGAACCCGGGACCTTTCAGTCCGCAGGCCGACGCTCTATCCACTGAGCCAAACCGGTCCCGGCCCATTTGTAAAGAATTTTACCAGCTTCCTTTTAGAACTTCGCTGGATAATGTGCATTGACTACCACTTACTAGTCCATCCGCATTTCCCGGCGCTCACCATTTTGGAGTTTAGCTCACATTTCTATTTTCTCTAAGTTACCAACTTTTTAAAAATGCCTTCTGCCCTTTTCTGTTTGTTGGAAATCTAGAATTCAAAGGATGGCCTTGATTCTATACCTAGATCTGTCCTGTAAAATACACTCCTCTGCAGATTACAGAGTCATGGTCTAGCCCAGTGGTCGGCAAACCACGGCTTGAGTGTGACTTTTCCACAAAATACCACATGCAGTGCGATTGAAGGAGTGCCCTAATTGAGATAATAACAATGTACCTACCTATACAGTTTAAGTTTAAAAAATTTGACTCTCAAAAGAAATTTCAGTCGTTGTACTGCTGATATTTGGCTCTGTTGACTAATGAGTTTGCAGACCACCAGGCTAGCCTGTCCGTGTAACTCACGGAGCAGAGCTGGAGAGAACGCTCGTTTGGGGTCTGAAAATCCAGCTGAGTCACCAGCTGGAAACCTTTGAGTAGTCGGGGCCCATTTCCGAGTCTGTGTCCACTCAGAATGCAGTATCAGTGTTTGCTGTTTTCTGAACCTTCACTCCCAACCCAACCTGGCGCTTTCCCCCATCACCCTCCTCCTGCTGTCCTACTGCGGGTTTAATGTTAGACACTTGGCAGTCTGAACTCTCATTTCCAGGGACAATTTCTTTTTTTTAACTATTAGGGTTGACATAGTGTTTGAAATTTCAAGAAGTTTGTCTTGCATCCATGTGCCTGATAATACTTCCAATAACACCTTTTACAAACAAACCTAAACAGCAACATGATTGTCTTAGTGGCTACCCTGTTAAGAGTGAAAAGGACATGATTGATTTTTTTTTCTTGTCTTATTTCTTTTTAGGTTTTGAATGAAGAATGTGATCAGAACTGGTACAAGGCGGAACTCAACGGGAAAGATGGCTTCATTCCCAAGAATTACATAGAAATGAAACCACACCCGTAAGTTGGCCCCTCTGTCCCCCCAGGGTCAGACCTGCTGCTTGTTTCCAGTCATGTTTTTAAACTGAAATGCATGTTATACTTTTATTCAGTTTCCCCAGGGAACTCACAAAGCATGTTGATTTTGCATATTCATGTTAATAGTATACAACGATAGCATAACAGTCAATAATAGTGTATGTTTCAGATTAATAGTATTTGCTGGTGATTTTTCAATAATGAAACATTTGTTCCATTTAAAACAAGAGTTTATATAGTATTACATAATAATAGTCTATATGTTTTTGATTAATAATAACTATTAGTGATCTTCAAGTAATAAAACAGTTACCGTATTTTCCTGCGTATAAGATGACTTTTGAAACGAAAAAAAGTCAACCAAAAATCGGGGCAAAAGACCAAAATTGCACAAAAATTACCTGCAGATCTTGACGGCAAAGTCAGTCTTTTCTTTGAAGTGGGAGGTAGTCTTATACAGCGAATATAGGCCTAAACCTATGTTTTAACTGTAAAATTAGGGGGTCGTCTTATACACCGGAAAATACGGTATGCAGGTCCATAATTCTCTTTCTGTGAAACCCTTAGGGCCAGATGTTTTAATAGTTCTGTATTTTAGTTTTAGAAAGGGTACTAAGCACAGGGTTTTATATTGATATGTTTGATTTTCCTATGAGACCATACCTTAATCATCTTTGTATTCGCAGAGCACAATGCGTGCATATAACGGGTGCTCAGTAAATGTGTATTGTACTCACTGCCCTTGCTCTCCACCTAATGTTCCCATTTCAGAGAAAGCAAAATGCTCTCTTACTCCGAGCTGCTGAGAGCAGTGAACTTCTTTCTTTCTTTCTTTCTCTTTCCTAGGGCTCCCCTGTTCATAATGATCTGTGACACAGGGACCCTGAGAGCCCTCCCAATCACTGTCCTCCCACCCTCACCCTCACCCACCACCTCTCTCCTGGGCCCTGCTCCCACCCCCACAGCAGCCTTTCCGTGCTCAGTGTGAAGGGACTGAGGCTTTCCGTGCTCAGTCTAGACCGCACCTGAGACACTTTTGAGTATCAGCCCATTTGTCCGCCTCCCCCATTGTCTCTGCTCTGATGTGAACCAGCATTGCTCTGCCTTCAAGACTAGAGCAAGATATTAACCACACCTTATCCTACACAGAGCCTGCGTCAGCACCCCACATAGTCCACAGCATGTTACACAGAGCTTACGGCATCTCACACGGAGCTTACCGGGTCATAGAATTGGAAGGGACCTTAAAGATTGTCTAGTCTATTCCTCTTTATCCTACAAGTCAGGAACACTTGTAGTATTTTCATTTCATTGCTAGTAATTTATGAATATAGTTCTCACTATAACAGACTATAGAGCAATGTATGCGTTCCTCCCCATACACACACCCTTTCAGGGGTAGCCACCATCTAATAGTTGACTGTGGGCCAAATGCTATCTTATGAACCGAATCTGTTCTAAAAAGATTGTTCACTCTCTGTAAAGGAGCTTCACCATAAAGCCATCTGCTGGCCATGCCACGGTCAGTGACTTACAGTTCTTGCTGTGTGGCAGGGCTGTGTGGGTGCTGGGAAGTGAGGTGCAATCATTACGGTCGGATGCAGTTACTGTGAAGCGCTCTGAGAGGTCACCCAGAAAGCCTGAGCCTGGGAGAAGGCGGCTCCCTGGGTTGGGGAGGGGAGGACCCGCTATCTGCAGACGGTCCTGGGAGGCGCTCAGACCTTTGACTGCGGAAGCCCGCACCTTGCAGTGGCTCCATAGGAGTTTCATGGAATGATGTACAAGGTGAAAACTATTCTGATTTACAAACTTTTTATTCTAGTTTTTGTTTGGAACTTGTACTGTCTTATAACTATATGAGTTTGGTCTCTCACCACGCCACCATCACCACCACCCCCAATTTTTTGTTTTAGATTCCTTGGTGAATTTATCTTCATTTATACTCCTGGGAAGTAGCCGAAATCGGTTTGGCTCAGTGGATAGAGCATCGGCCTGCGGACTGAAAGCTCCCAGGTTCGATTCCGGTCAAGGGCATGTACCTTGGTTGTGGGTGGGGGTGTGCAAGAGGCAGCTGATTGATGATTCTTTCTCATCGATGTTTCTAACTCTATTTCTCTCCCTCTCTGTAAAAAAAAAGTAATTTAAAAATTAAAAAATATTAAAATATATATATACTCCTGGGAAGTAGACTAAGCACTACTTTGCATTCTTTTTTTTCTTTTTTTAATTTTTTAAATATATTTTATTGATTTTTTACAGAGAGGAAGAGAGAGGGATAGAGAGTTAGAAACATCGATGAGAGAGAGTCATCGATCAGCTGCCTCTTGCACACTCCCTACTAGGGATGTGCCCGCAACCAAAGTACATGCCCCTGACTGGAATCGAACCTGGGACCTTTCAGTCTGCAGGCCGACACTCTATCTACTGAGCCAAACCGGTTTCAGCTGCTTTGCATTCTTATAGCCACTCAGCGTCAGTGTTTGCTTTGGGGGCTGTGCAGTCTTTTCATGGACAGATCATGGAGTGCACTCAGAGAGCAGGGAGAAGCCGGGGGTGGGGGGGCTAGCAGTTACCGGGAGCGGGAGGGGCTCCTTGGATCGCAGTGTGTCCTCCCTCCCTTCCTCTGTCCATGGAAGCCCCTATTTACTCGGTCCTTCCTCGGAATAGATGGAGGGCTGCCTGACCTTCGGGAAAAGGCAGATAATAAATATTCCTCTTCTTTGGAATTTTTTAAAACAGCCTTTAAAATTTTTATTAAAAAACAGTCTTAGATTATGGGCCATACAAAAGCTGGGCAGATGTTGGCCAAGGGCCATGGTTTGCTGCCACCAGAACTACATCCAATGATAACAAAATCCACAAGTTCCTTTTCATTTTCATATTTCCAGGCTGAAAGGGAATTCCGCAGAACACCACACTGTAATTTTTGTGTGAAATAAAATGCCTGTGGCTCTAAATCCCTGTTTTCCTTTGGGATTGTTTCAGGTGACAGAGGCATTTGAAATCCAACTACTAAGAAAATATGAGGAGTCTGCCGGTGTGGCTCAGTTGGCTGGGTGTTGCTTCCTGCACCGCGGGTTGCCTTTTGGATTCCCAGCTGGGCACATGCCCGGGGCGGCCTCAGTCCCTGGGGGGCATCCAGGAGGCAGCTGAACAATGTGCCACTGTCGCACTGACGTTCCTCTCTCTCCCTCTCCTCTAAAAATCAAGAATTTTTTTTTTTTTAAATAGCAGGAAAGGCTACCTTTGTTGGAAAGTAGCGGTTACTGACCGATTGGTTGGCTAGCCCTTAAGGGAGAGTCACTCTCACACCTGGTTTCTCACAGTAAAGAACTTTGACTGAGTAATTGATCAGGAAGCATCCAGCCCAGTCAGGTATGGTTCAGTGGTTGAGTGTTGACCTTTGAACCAGGAGGTCACAGTTCAATTCCCAATCAGGGCACACGCCCAAGTTGTGGGCTTGACCGCCAGTGGGGGGTGTACAGGAGGCAGCCAGTCAATGGTTCTCTCTCATCATTGATGTTTCTCTCTCCTCTCTCTTCCTCTCTGAAATTAATTTTTTTAAAAAACAGGAAGCATCCAGAACGGATGCTCTTCACAGACTGTGGCTGAAAATCTACTCCAAGGTCTAAGTGGGTTGCTAAACAAGACCATGGCCGCGTACCCATGCTGTGGTTGGTCTCACAGGCATGTTTCATGATCCAGGGCTGCTCTGTGGCTGGATGCCAATAAGTACAGTCAGCGCCCGCTCCACAGCTGGGGGAGCGCATGGAGCACCGGGTCTCTCCTCCGCTCTCCCCTATGGAGATGTAAGAAGTGTGGCTCAGTTCTTCTCTCCCCACCCCGAAACCTTTAGTTTGGGTTGGGAAAAGGGAAGTTTAAGACGGAGGATGACCTAATACAGCATTTGAATTAACAAATTAAATTAAACACAGGCTGTAAGTGATTGTTGGCATGCGTGTTGGAAGATGAGCTGTAGATGCTGGGGTGGATCCAGCGTGTGCTTTCACAGTGAGCGCACCGGTGGGCGCCTGTGGGGGCAATAAGAATTACATTGCATAGTAGCAGCCTCCTCCTGCGTGCTCTTCTTTGCGGTTTGTACTGGGGCATAGACCCATCTTCCTAAAACTTTTAGAACAATTTTTAACATAGCCATGTGGTTACAAATGTCACCATTAACAGAGGCTAATCAAATTTATAAACAGCATAAAATGCTGTGGAAATGTAGGTTTGTAGTATTTAAATGTTGTAACAGTTATAACATTCTTCTTACAGTGCAATAGTCCTTATATTGTGGAACATCCTTGGTGGGGGTGAGGGGAAATGTGTGTGTGTGTGTGTGTGTGTGTGTGTGAGAGTGTGTGTGTGTGTGTGTGTGTATGTGTGTGAGTGTGTGTATGTGTGTGTGTGCGTGTGTGTGTGTGTGTGTGTGTGTGTGTGTGTGTGTGTGTGTGTGTGTGTGTGAGAGTGTGTGTGTGTGTGTGTGAGAGAGAGAGAGAGAGTGTGTGTGTGTGTGTGTGTGTGTGTGTACACGCACCACAGCACGAGCTTAGTAGAAATAGGAGCAGATACAAAAGAAATATTTAATAAAGTCTCCAACTAATTTTCTATTTTTCAATCCATGTGCTTGTAACAGAGGTATGCTACTTTGTAAAAATTCCAATTAGTAGTGTACTTCACTAAAGTTTTGTTGTTTAATTGAAAATAAAATTAATTTTAAACTGGGGGCAAGAAAACCCTGTAGCCGCATTTGTCTGTCTGCCCCGTAAGGGAAGATCTGTAAACACACGTGTAACTGCCAGCAGTTGAGGCCTCTGGGGAGTCTGAGCGAGGAGCCTTGCATAGTCTTTTTACTGAGTGCACAGCTAGGGTATTTTAATTTGTATTTATCACTTTTAAAAGGTGGGAAAGGAGAGAAAATGCCTGCTGTCAGGAAGATCTTGGTATTAAGGAGGAATGAGTTGGCTGCTGAGGAACTTCCCCCACCCCCGGCAGATGGCTGTGGTGCGCTCGCATTGACAGGCCCAGAGATTAACGTTGAAAACATTCAGATGATCTCAATACTGTTAGCTCCTGTCATGACTGAGGCCGTTCTCTGTTACTGATATGTGATCTTCCTTGTGTGGCCTGACTCCGGGCGCTGGGGGACTTCTTGAATCATTCACAGGAGCAGGAAGACAGATTGTGCCAGCTCCCGCAGCCTGGCATTAGAGAAGCAACATGAAAAAGACACAGGAGGTAGATTTAGGAATGTTTAAAGGTTACTAATGGCAATTTCCGAATGTAAGTTCAATGAATGTTGATTACTATGTAAGGAGTTCAATGAAGCAGACAGGTCTTTTGTAAAAAAACAAACAAACTCATTTTTATTGATTTTTTATTTTAGAAAGAGAGATGAAAAGACAGGGGTAGAGAAACAGAAACATTGATGAGAGAGAAACATCAATAGGTTGCCTCCTACACTCCCCTCGCTAAGGATCAAGCCCAAAACCCAGGCATGTGCCCTGACCGGGAATTGAACCAGCAACCTCTTGGTTCCTGGGACAGTGTTCAACCACTGAGCCACACCGGCAATATATTAAAGACGCTTTGAAAAAAGAACATGGTTTTCGCAGTTTCTCCATCAGAATTAGCATGGTTTTTATGTGGCATGCTGAGGCAGCGGTGACTTTAAGCTTTTAAAGAGCGCTCTCCTCCTCTTCCTCCTGGTAAGTCACGGGCCAGCTGCTCAGTTTTCTGTGAATTCACCCGCTTTCTTGTCGCCAAGGTGAATGAACATTGGGATCAAAAGAGTCTAACTTGCTCCAGATGAAAAACGGACGTTTACAGCTAGCTGCTGTGCACGTATAAATAAACGAGGATGCTCCTCCCGGTGGCTCCGAGAGGGTGCACCTGGAGCAGAAGGCCGGCTTAGTTACCAGCTCAGGCTGTCCTCCCACACCTGACCCTCTGCCCTTCGGGCTGTTACCAGAAGCAGCCTGTCTCCAGCCTCCGGCCTTCCAGCTCTCCTGCCCCCGCCTTATCAGATGGCTCAGGAAGGAGCCTGTCTCCCCTGCCCCAGGCCACAGCCTGGCCTTCCACGTTCCCGGTGCCTGGCCGTGAGTCACTGGGAGCCCAGGGGGCTCTGGCCCCGGAAGCCCGTTATGTGTCTCCCTGGAAAGGCAGAGTGCCTTCTGAGTCACTGTGGAGAGCGGGCCCGGAAGGCGTTTGAAGGGAGATGTCCATCTCTCAGGAGGGCCTGGCTGAGGGCGTGCTGGGGCATGTGGAGACCGCGGTCAGGAGGAGGCCCTGGCCTGGCCAGGAGAGCTCTGTTTCTCACAGTTCGGGCTGCATATCCATTTCTTTCCAGGGAAGCACAGACTGACCCGCTTGCCTTCCTTCCTTAGGTGGTTTTTTGGAAAAATCCCCAGAGCCAAGGCAGAAGAGATGCTCAGCAAACAGCGGCACGATGGGGCCTTCCTCATCCGGGAGAGCGAGAGCGCCCCTGGGGACTTCTCCCTCTCCGTCAAGTAAGTCCTCCTGCGGGCGCCGGGCCTTCGCCGCCGGCCGAGCCGTGAGCCCCAGGCCGGTGTCTGAGGGATGGCACTCACAAAGTACCTTACAATCCATGAGGTTTCACAGTAACATGCTGAGTTCTGGCCCCTCTCAGGATGTGTGCCAGCGGCACTGGGTCCGACTCCCCAGGGAGCAGGCTAGTTGCTGGACAGCACGTGCTTGCCCGCTCTCCCTGGTCCCCACCACTCCCCGTGCCCCTCACACAGCTCTCCTCCTCCTCGCCCTTCCCGGCTCCCGTGGCTCTGACAGGCCGCGGCCACGTCACTGCCTCTCCAGGTCCGTCCCTGTGTGTGTGTGTGTGTGTGTGTGTGTGTGTGTCCCGGGTATCTGGCTCCATCTCCCCGCACCGGCCCAGGCCTGTCTCACTCAGTTAAAAGGTCACCCCAAGGGTCTGGGATGTTGTTTTGTTTGTCTGTTTTTGCATCTCCCTGGGTGGATTTAAATGTGGGAAGGAGCTGGTGGACAGGGACTAGGAAGGCAGGACGTTTTATCACCCTGGAGTCACAGAGAATGTCAGTTGGAACTTAAACAATTCTAAGCAAGTCAGCCCCCACTATGACATAAGAATATTTAGTCAAATTGTCGTTTCTGTTTGCATTTGATTCAGTCCTTTTCTGGTTAATAATAGGAATCACAGGAACCCCGCCCGTGAGAATCTTACAAACCAGTTCATTTATATAAGTGATTCGTTTTATTTTTTGTTAATCCTCGCCTGAGGATATTTTTTCCATTGATTTTTAGAGAGAGTGGAAGGGAGGGGAAGAAGCAGAGAGAAACATCCATGTGAGAGAGCTACATGGTCGAATCCAGGACCCTTCAATCTACGGGCCGATGTTCCATCCACTGAGCCAAACCGGCTAGGGCATTAAGATTTTTTTTTCTGCTTCAAAAATTAACTGAATATCTCATTTCATTTTAAGACCAAAAACCGGTTGAAGTGTGGGTCTTTGATACATAGATGTACATTTAGAATTTTTTCCCTCAGTGAAGATATCGGAGGTGGCTTCAGGTGGCATTTGCAATACCTCACAGGTATGTTTCCAGCATAGTTTTTAGTCTCAACATGAAAAGACTCAAACTGGGTTTAATTGTAAGTTTTTCACTTCTAACGAAGACTTTTTTTAGCAGACTGTATTTTTTAGAGCTGTTTTAGTTCACAGCAGAGTGAGTGGAAGGTACAGAATTTCCCCTACGCCCCCTCACTCCCCCACGCTCTCGGTGCTTGGCTGGGCACATGCAAACGAGGGTCCAGTGAGAGCGCCTCGCCTCGAGACGCACGTGTCAGCACGTGTCAGCACGTGTCAGCAGGCCGCTTCTTCACTTGTCCATCGCTGTCTTCCTGCGTTTGTCCTGACCCGACTGTGAGGGCGCAGCATAGGACACGGAGGACAAGCGGCAGCAGACTCACTGGGCCTCCCGTGCGGGCAGCGGGCAGCCCGGGTGCGCTGATCGCGGCACACCCTCCCTCCTATCAGATAAAAAGTTGAAAGAATCACGTGTTTATTGTTTTAGAAATAAGATTGGAAAGGAGTGCAGTGCGTCAACCCTCTTGACCAACACAAACACCTTCGCAAAGGAGGTGCAGGAGTGCCGGGCTCCGAGGCGTTCCCTGAGGTTCAGACGTGTGAGTCTGTGATGGGAGATCTGCGGTCCCTCCAGAGCCTGGCTCGCTGCACGGGGAGTGGCTTCCGTGGGGCCGGAGTGTCGTTGGATGTCCTTCCTCTGAAGCCTCCCCCAGTCCTTCTCTCGCTTGAAACAGCAGTGCTGCAGGTCCCTGCATCATAACACTGATGAGCCGTGGTTGGAACTTAGCTGCTTATTCAGCCCACCCATCTTTTCACGTCTCCCTTAAAGTCCCGGAACCTGTGGCTGATAGTCCAGCGGGGACTTGACTTACTGGACCATTCCTAACCCTTCGCGTCTCCTCCGTGCCTTCCCAGGAGCTCAGTGCTGCCACCTTCTGGGGTGTTTAGTTTCTTTAGCTTTAAGAAGAGAAACTATAGTTTCATTCATTTAACAAATCTTCTTAGATGCCTTTTGAGGGCTGGGCGGTGAGCGGGACAGGCAGAGCCTTCACTGTGCTGGTCTGGTAGCGTGTGAGTGGGCCGTCCTGCTCCAGCAGCTCTGCTGCTTCTGTGGCCCGGGTACAGGGAGCGCTTACCTGACCAGGGGGTGGAGGAGCCTTTTCTGGGGCAGGAGCACTGCCAGACCTCTTTATGTGTTGTCCCAGTAAATTATTTTGTTCTGAGACCTTTTCCCCATGAACAGAACTAAAATCCCTGGATAGTACACATAACGCCCGGCTGGTGTGGTTCAGTGGCTGAGCATCAACCCAGGAACCAAGGGATTGCTGGTTCGATTCCCAGTCAGGGCACATGCCCAGAATGCAGGCTTGATCCCCAGTGGGGGCCATGCAGGAGGCGACCAATGGATGGGTTCCTCTCCCATTGATGTTTCTCTCTCTCTCCCCCTCTCTCTCAACAAATTTATTTTAAAAAAGCAAAACACATGACTTTACGCAGGCACAGAGAGAATTATTGAACGTATGTCCAGTTTCTCCTCTACATACTTCATTTCCTTTTCTAACTTTTATAAAAGTCTTTAAAGCCACATAAGATTTTAATTTTCCTTAATATTATTTTATTTATTTATTTTATTTTATTTTTGCACTTGAAAATGTAATTAAATCACACTCCTTGCCTTAAATAGGCTGTTTCTTGCATTTGGTACCGCGTGGGGCATGCCATTGGTTAGCACTTTTATCTCTAACCGTCTTCAGAATTGGACCTGCGGACAAGGTCTCCTGCTGGGCCAGGGCTCTGCATGGCGCCCCTGGGAGCCATCGTCCTCATGGAGGGGCCTCGGGAGCCAGCCGTGCGCGCACCCTGACCTCCAGCCGGCGTCTGCGCCCGCCCTGCGGAGCTCCACCGCCTCAACGGGCAGCAGCTGGGCTTCCCCGGGCCCAGCCCCTGACCTGGTCTCCGTGCTCCTGCCTCCCCAGGTTCGGGAACGACGTGCAGCACTTCAAGGTGCTCCGGGACGGAGCCGGGAAGTATTTCCTGTGGGTGGTGAAGTTCAATTCCTTGAATGAGCTGGTAGATTATCACAGATCCACATCCGTCTCCAGAAACCAGCAGATATTCCTCCGCGACATAGAGCAGATGCCACAGGTAAGCCTCCGAGCGAGGAACAGCCCCTCCGGCAGCAGGGCCCTCCAGCGGACGCTGCTGGGGCTCCACGCTCACTGCTCGGAGCGGTACCCTTCACCCAGGCCCGAGGGGAGAGGCCGACACCAGGGAGATCAGAGGTTTGCCTTCACCAGGGGCCGCAGCCCTAGGAAGGAGGGTCTGTGACACACTCACCAGCACCCCCTCCTGGGAGCAGCTTGTGAGGGGGTCCTCGCTGGGCGGGAGGGAGGGAGGGAGGCAGGCAGGGAGGCAGGCTCCCTCTCCTCCTCTCTTCCTTTCCCCGCGGGGGCGCACAGGAGAGGCAGAGTGAGGGTGGCCTGCCTCCTGTCCTGAGCCCAAAGCCGCTCAGCTTCGGCGTTAACACTTGTGACCCCGAAACCCTCCTGTGCCTCTGAGCACCACCTCATTCCCAAGCTCTGCCTTGCTGAGCCTATAAACCCTGGGTTTTACTGGTGATAAGGGGGAGGAACTGAGGCACTTCCCAACCGGGCTGTGAGCCAGACCTGAGGGCCGCTTCCTAAGGGCCTTCCCCTTCGGGCAGCACCTGCCGCTCTGCTTAACCAGATGGCACAGCCGGCCGCCGAGGTGAGGCCTCCCCGCAGTTTCTGGCATCGGTGGAAAGTCCCATGTCCTACATAACTCAGAACGTATGGGAATCGGGGGACGGGAGAATGAGGGTTTACTTCGGGAATGTAGAAAAGTTGGCACTCATCTGCGCGCACGCCCCCCCCCACACCTGTCCCACTCGGGACTGGCCACGCTCAGTGCGCGATGTGTTTCTCCCTGCCCCTCTGCAGCAGCCGACGTACGTCCAAGCCCTCTTTGACTTTGACCCCCAGGAGGATGGAGAGCTGGGCTTCCGTCGGGGAGACTTTATCCACGTCATGGATAACTCAGACCCCAACTGGTGGAAAGGGGCTTGCCACGGGCAGACCGGCATGTTTCCCCGAAATTACGTCACCCCCGTGAACCGGAACGTCTAGAACCAAGAGATTATTTAAGGAAAGCGGAAAATTAAACACGTACAAATGAATTAAGCCGGAGCTGCCTCTCGCAGCCTGAGCGGGGGCTCCGGGCGCCTGGCCGTCACCGGTGACTCTCCCTTTGGCCGGAACTTCGGGGGGTGGGCGGGGAGGTGGATATAAGATGCCAAACTTACCTATGAATTAAGAGAAAGAGTTTTTATTACAGTTTTCACTGCTGCTCCTAGTTCTCCTCTTTGTCCTTTTTTCATCTTTTTTCTCTCTGTCCATCAGTGCATGACGTTTAATGCCACATATAGTCCTAGCTGATGCCAACAATAAAAGAAAAGAAACCGCGTGGGCTGGTATTTTCTCTATGCAAATGTCTGCTTCAGTCAGAAGGACTGAAAGAACAGCCATTGCTGGGTTCTCCATAGACACGGGGGTGGGGAGAGGTCCCCTATAGTCTGCCAGAGGGGGCAGTTCAGGGGCGCTGCCCTCCAGCCCTCCCCCCCCATGTCTTTTGTCAAAGTTGGGAATGGAGGGGGCACAGGGAGGCGCGCTGCCCCTGCCTTCCTGGGGAAGTTGAATGAAAGCCTGTCTGCCTCACCGAGCATGTTCTCAGTGCCTTTCCTTCCTTGGGCTGCTATGGGGTGTTCTGTGTGAGGGTGTTACAGTGCCGCCCGGTCTGTGTGACGCCTTTCCCGCGGGGCCACAGGAGAAGGGCGGAGTGAGGGTGGCCTGCGCCTGCCTGAGCCCGAAGCTGCCCGCTCTGGCGTTAACACTTGTGACCCCGAAGGGGCGGGAGGGGCGGCCCAGGGAGCAGGGTGCCAGCTGCCGGGGCAGCACAGGCTGCCGCTCTGCCCCCTGCGCTGGGGCTGGCTGGAAGGGCTGAGCGTCCTTGATTTTGCCATCTCAGGTGTTGCCTGCCCCCCTCCTCGGTCCCCAAAGACCCCCGACTCAAACCCGGAGCCGGCATTTCCCACTGGAAGCTGGAGGAACTGGCACTGCTGCCCCCGTTCCCTCTGCGCTGGAAGCAGCTGCGCTCACCTTTCCTGCTCTGCACACCAGGGCCCTGCTCACGCCCTTGCTCTCTTGTCTCCGCCTGCCCTGCCAGGTGAGCCTCAGGGCCGCCCTCAGAGCAGCTGGTGGCCTTCCTGTCTCCGTTCACAGCGGGCTGTGTCAGAGCTGCTCCGCCCAGCCCCCCAAACGCAGTGCCTCCGAGAAGCGGGAGAGCAGGAGGGAAGACTGGAAACCAGGCCGAGCCCAGGGAGAAGCTGTCCATCTCCTGCCGCCGCTGCCCTCGGAGCCCCGTGCCTGTGAACTGCCGGCCGGATCGGTGACTGGTGACGGTCCCGGGTGGTCCTTGGAGTCTCCCCGGACTCTGGGCCTGGAGCCGGCCCCGGGGGCCCAGGAGGCTCGGCTCCTCCGGACAGAATGCGGCCTCCTCGCTCGCTCCCTCCCTGAGAAAGAAATCTGGCCGCCTGCGCCTGGACCACGTGATTGTTTTATTTTGGAATTGGTGTATATCATGGAGCCTTGCTGAACTAAGTTTTGTGTGTGTATATTTAAAAAAATCAGTGTTTAAATAAAAAGACCTATGTACTTAATCCTGTAACTCAGAGTAAAACTTGGTAGGTAGTGATTAACTGTGAACAATAAACCTGCAGTGACTTCTTCACCCCGGATCTTTTTTTGCCTTCACCTTAAGATAAACTCCTAACGACTGTCAGGCCGCTGGGACTCGTGTCCTGATTTCCGACTCACCCAGCCTGTTGGGGGCCTCAGGGTCCCTGGGCTCCAGTGCCCCCCTCGGCTCATTGGGATGCTCAGGAGCTTGTCCACAATGCAGGTTTCCAGGCCCGCCCTCCCACACTCGGATTGGGGTGCAGGGCTCACCTGGTGTCCTCGGCGTTTCTGATGGGAACATAGACCACACTTTGGGAGCTGAGGGCGAGAGCACAGCTGGCTAGGTTCTTGTCCCCTCGCCCACCTCCCTCCTTCCTACCCCTCCCCTCCCTCCTACCCCTCCCCTCCCTCCTACCCCTGCCCACCTAGTGAAGGCGGGACAGAATGGTCTGCCTAAAGCAGCCTTTATTGGTTGGTTGGTTTTCAGAGGAAGGGGGAGGGAAAGAGATGGAAACATCAATGATGAGAGAATCGTTGATTGGCTGCCTCCCGCAACCCGGGCGTGTGCCCTGACCTGGAATCGGTGGCCGCCTAGCTTGTAGGTATCCACCCAATCATCGAGCCACGCCGCCCGGCCCGGCCAAAGCAATCTTTTTTTTCCCTCTAATATATTTTACTGAGCTTCTTACAGAGAGGAAGGGAGAGGGATAGCCAGAAACATCAATGAGAGAAACATCGACCAGCTGCCTCCTGCACACCCCCCACTGGGGATGTGCCCAAAACCAAGGAACATGCCCCTGACCTGAACGAACCCGGGACCCTTCAGTCCGCAGGCCGACGCTCTATCCACTGAGCCACACCGGTTTCGGCCCAGAGCAATCTCGATGTGCGAAGTAGCTACAACACCCCTGTCTGTTCTTGGGGCGAGCCCCGGCCGGTTCACCCTCAGCACCGGCTACAGGAGACCCAGTGAGATTTGTTCAGAGAGAGCCCCAGTGAGATTTGTTCAGAGAGAGACCCAGTGAGATTTGTTCAGAGAGAGCGGAAAAGAAACGAGACCCAAGGGATTTCCACGTCTTCTCGGGCCAGTTCCCAGATAGAGCCCAGCACCGACCTCGGCCGCGGCCGCCAGCTCAGACCCGTTTCAGTTCCTTCTCCCAGTGGCCGTGCGGGAGCCGCTGGCCGCACAGTCCCCCCGGCCCGCTGCCTCGGAGCTGAGCAGAAAGCTCCCGAACGGGGCTGCGAAGGGAGCCTCAGCCGCCCTGCCGGCCCCCCGGGGGCTCCGCTGGTGGCCGGTGGCCTCAGAATTTCCTGGGGAAATGGCTGCTTTGGGGCAAGTCTGCTTGGCTACAGGCTTGGCGATGGCGCCCCCTCCGCCTGTGGCTGTGTGATTCCAGGGAAGCGTCTGGGGGTAGCGCCTGGGAAGACAGTGTGGAACCACTCGGCGGCAAAGCGACAGGCGGGCGAGTGCTGCTGGGCCTGCTCTGGCCTCCCCAACACCTGCAACCGGGGATGTGCCTGCAACCAAGGCACATGCCCTTGACCAGAATCGAACCCGGGACCCTCAGTCCTCAGGCCGACGCTCCGTCCACGGGCCACGCCAGCCAGGCCTCCAAAGGGCAGTCCCGCTGTTGAACCCAGGCAGACCTCGGAGGCGTGGGCTTGGGTCCAGGCCAGTGACACCGGCAATCTTTCTGCCGGGGAGGGTCTGTGAGGCTCAACGAAGCGCAGCGAGGCAGGGGAGCCGCTCCGTCCCTCAGAAGTCGGGGTTTAGAAAGCCGTCACCCCCCTGTCCTCTGGGTCTGACTGCCTCTCAGCCTGCCTCCCTCCAGGGCCACTGATCCAGGCCAAGGGCCCTCAGGTCAAAAGGCAGGCACAGCTCCCCTCCTCTCACTCCTCCCCTAACCCCTTCCTGGGCCCGGGAGTCAAAGGGCCCGGGCGCCCCTCTTCTGTTTGGCTCACAGGCTTCTGTCCGCGGTGCCCTGTGTGCTCCGGCCGTGATGGGTGTGTCGGAGTGTGAGCTATGGGAGCGAGAATTCAGACAAGCGGTGTGGCTGACAGCCAGCGGGCGGGGGGTGTGAGGCAGATGGACTCGGACCTGGTCTCTGAATGGGACACGCAGACCGGCGTGGGCGGTGCGTGTTGGCAGAGGTGCGGTGTTGGCAGAGGGGTGGGTGGGAGGAGCACAGTGTCCCCTGCGCCCAGGTGGTTCGTGGGGCTTGGAGCAGGATGAACAGTGCCCACACCCCTCCCGACGCAGAGGGCCCCACAGGCCCGGGAGATGGCGGCACGGTGAGCACTGACCTCGGGGTGCACAGGGGAGACCAGGGGAGCCGAGGGGAGGCTGCCCGGGTGCTCGCCCAGGGGGTCGGGGAGCAGAGCTGTGCCAGCCTCCTGTGGAATCGGCGTGAGATGGGCCACTCCAGGCTGGGCTGGTCCCCGCTTCCCCTGCTGCTGGCTGGGTGCAGGGGAGCCGCCGGCTCATCGCAGACTGTCACAGCCCCCCCCGCCCCCCCCCCGGGGCCACGCCGGAAACCAGTCAGCAGGAGAGAACCCGCGAGGCCCCGTGAACCGTTAGCGCGGGGGAAGGAAGTGGACTGGCTCATCGTGACCTGACGTGCACGCGGGCCGGCACCGGGCGGTCTGGTGGCCGCTGTGCGGCTCCGGTGCCCAGCCCCGCTGCCGTATGGATGTGCCCCCGTGTCCTCGTCCGTCCTGGGCAGGTGCTGTTGAGGTCATGGGGTCCATCCCGGCCTCTGCTCAGAGAAGCCCTCCCCAAAGGTGGTTGGTCACCGCCTGGCACTGCTGCTCTGCCCAGCCTCCTCGCCACCTCGCCGGGGGCACGTGCTGCCCGCCTTCCCCACCAGACTGTGCGCTCCTGGGGGGGACTCGCTCACGCTGCCTCCCTCGGGGTCAGGAGAGGCCTGGGACACCGGTGCTTACCGTCGTCACCCGAGGGAAGAGAAGTCCGGCCCAGAGGCCACTGCACGGAGGCCCGCGGGCCGGCCTTGCCGTCTGCCGGGAAGGCGGCCAGATTCGCCTCCGTGGGAGGCCTGGCATGGGCGGGAGGAGAGGAGGAGCCGGAACACTCACAGCGGCTCCCACCTGTCTCCAGGTTGGGGAGGCCAGACAGTCATGCATAAACCGAGAGCTAAACACCGAGCAGGGCGGTCGCTCCGTGGGGAGGGGGGATGTACTCAGGGCAGGAGGTCTCGGCAGGAGGCACTGCAAGGTCCAGAAAGACGTGCGTGTGGAGAGAGGGACAGAGATCGGGTCCGAGGAGGAGCTGGCCCAGGCAGGGGCAGAGGCTGGCGGAGCGGGGCCCCGGGGGCTGGGGCTGGCGGTTATGTGAAGGATGACTTTGTTGAGATACAACTCACTTGTCATCAAGTCACCGTCTGAAGTACACCATCCGATGGTGTTCAGTGTTAGTCACGGTCATGCAATCCATTTCGGAACACTTATTTCAGGGAGGGAGGAAGAGGGGGAGAAAGAAACATCAATGAGGAGAAAGAATAATTGATCGGCTGCCTTCTGCACACCCCCTTCTGGGGATCAAGTCCAAAACCCGGGCATGTGCCCTGACTGGAATGGAAATGTAACCCTCTGGGTCCACTGTGCCGCACCAGCTGCGCAATTTTGGGAGATTTTCGTGATCTCAAAAACACACACACGTGTATCCATAATCAGTCACTTCCCACTTTTCCCCAACCCCTACCGGCCCCAGAACCACCAGTCTACTTTCTGTCTCTGTGGGTTTGCCTGATCTGAATACATATATATGCCTAAGTGACCGAAGGACCCGTTGACTGGTTGCTATGCCATGCACTGACCACCAGGGGGCAGACACTCAACGCAGGAGCTGCCCCCAGGTAGTCAGTGCGCTCCCACAGCCAATCTCCCATGGCCGGCCAGCCTCCCACTGTCCCTCCCCCCAGCTGGCCAGCCCTCCTGGTAGGCCCTGATCGCCAGCCAGGCTAAGGGACCCCACTCGTGCACCGGGCCTCTAGTTCCATATAAATGGGATGGTGCAATGCGTGGCCCATAAGCTACGGTCCAGGTGAGACCTCACACTCTCCACTCCACGTGAGGGGAGAGGGCGGGATGTGGGGCCCAGCCCAAGGCCCTGAGGGTGGGATGAGGGAAGAAGAAGGAGCTGCCAAGGAGACTTGGGAGAGGCCAGCGGGGCAAACCAGGGCCGCCTGGCGCTGGGGCAGGTGTGTCCAGGAATCAATGCTGCTGCAGGGACTCGCCTCTCTGGCCATCCTCATCCCGGTCCCTCGTCCTCCACCCTGTTGCTGCCCCTGACAGCCCCTATGGTCCCCAAACTGCCCTGACTGCCTTCCCTCTTCCGCTGAGAGCCTTGCCAAGCGCCAGCTTGTACGGAGGGCACAGGGCAGGCTCCTGGCCCTCGGGAGCGGTGACAGGAGAAGGGGCTCGAGGCTGGAGTCGGAGCCGGGGCTGCCCTCCAGGCTGTGACCTCGGGCAGGGCCGTCACCTCTGCCCGCCGTGCTCATCTGCTGGAAAAGCGGCCGGAGTCCCCGAGCTGGCCGAGGCGCAGCTGTGGTTGTACCGTTCGGTGCAGGGGCACTGGGCCCGGTTCCATCGTGGCGCGCCAGGCGCTCCGAGCCTGGGCCGCGTTGGCACTCGGCCCCTCCGTCCCTCCTGGCGTCTCCGGCTTTCACCACTCTGAGCGGAGCCCGAGGTCTCTCTTCCTCTCTGCTCGTCTGCGTATCCCACCCTGACTGAGGCTGCTCCTCAAGCCCATCCTCCGAGCAGCCAGGTCCCAGCCTCAGAACCCCGAACAGTTAACCTGGTCATGTTAACCGTGTGAGCTGCCTTCAGGAGAGCCGGCATCTGTGCGAAGCAGAGGCTGCCTATCCGAGAGAGAGCACACCTGTCCCTGCTTCAGTTCCTCTGGGGATGTTTCAGAGTTTTCCTTCCACACATAAATTGGGGGGAGGGGCCCTGACAAAGTTCAGATTCCTAGCTCTGGACCCCACTCGTTGCATAACCCGTTTCCTCATCATTATGATGTGATACAAGGTCCAC